CTAAACTAATCAAAAGAGACTCATCTCTTTATGAATATAATAACTCATAATTAGGGATGATAACAGACCGGGCTAAGCCCTTTGTTTATGCCATACCTCTAGTAATAGTTAGGATATAAACAAAGCAAACCCTTTGTTCCTCAATAATTACCAACACTTGTGTTTCCGTGTAGTTATGAAATCAGCACCATTTTATGGAAGATATGGATTAACTTCAAGCTTGCAAAGACAAATTCAATGTTCGAGACCTATAACTCTATAAGGCCATTGAGGCTATTTACTACGGAGTATTTCAGTTATTCTAACATACAGAGTAGATCACAGATATGGGAAATGTAGGGTTGGAATAAAAATCCTCAAACTATACAGATGTGGTACTAAATGTGAAGGTACTTGAATAACAACAGACAGAATTTTCTTGTAATAAGCTTGCTTACTACGAAGTATAAAAGAATAGGTTATATTACTGTAATTGACAACATTACACTTTTTTTGTTCATCTATCCAAACATTTAAAAGTTACAGAGTTCCAAAGAGAAGGTCCATATCAGATTATCACATATTCACAATTCGAATATATCATTGAATCTCTCCATCCATGGGAGGAAAAAATGCATGTACTTTGTAAAGTTTACTGAAGGCAATATTGTACAAGACTAACAGTAAAATCACAAGGAAAAAGAGGGAACTTATAATGGGTGGTTTAAAAGTCTAAAGCATCAACGGGAAGTGAAGTTGTTCTTTGAAGAGAATGTGGAAGCATGGCTGCTCCCGTGTAATAGCTGTTAGCAGTCCCCATATTATCTGGGCTGCAACACTCACTCTGAAGCATTCGAGTGCGCAAATTGGGGATCTTCCTCTTACCATAGCTTGAAGGAAATTGAGGCGTAAAATGCTGTTCCAATGCTTTTTTCAGATCTTTCACATCTAATCCTCTTTCCAATGGATGAAAGGATATCTTCATGCTCCTTTTCAAATTGTAGTCCTTTTCTGCAGCTAAGTAACGTGTCTTCATATCTGCACCTGAATTTTCATCACTCAGTTCTCTCAGCTGTATCTCATACTTGGTTTTCAGCCATCTAAGCTCCTTCATTGCCTCGTACTCATACTCCCTCTCATCTAAAATGGAGCTTGTAGGGGAGTTATAAGGCGTTTGAGTTTGAATATAAGTAATTGTGGCCCTCTTATCATTCTCTAAACTTGCTTGATCTTGTGATTCAAAGGTTTCACCAAAATGGAAGTTTAAGCTGGGTCGTCGATGATGATGAGCCACTGTATCTGATTTCAGTTTCACACCAGAATCTGTTCCATCAGCTTCGGATGGATAAGTTATCTCCTCAAAACGTCCACGCATAGATGTTGATCCATGACTAGCACAACGAAGGAGTTGGAGATTGCGGGGTCTGGGGCTGCCAAAGGAAAGATAATCTGCTAAAGAAAAGTGCTCAGTCACACGATCGTTGTCCTCGTTTACGCTTTCACACTTGACGGACTCGTTTATGCTTTCACACACAGCGGCCTCGTTTAAGCTTTCACACACAGCAGCTTCTTCTACATATGAACTCTTCTTCCAGTCCGGGACTAAGGAAGCAATCTCGCAATCTATCATATCTGCTATTCTCTTCATGTCATCTTCCTTTATACTCAGTTCAGAAACCATTTCCGTCGTAACACTCATAGCAGTATCCGTCTCAACGTCGAAAGGGAAGTAGATATTTCGCACTCGCCCTGTAAGAAAATAAGTAATCATATAAGCTTCCTAAAGTAGCTATTTGACAAAAACAGAGAATAAAAGTCAAAACTTATACCTTCTTTATCAGTGATTCTGAGTCTTAAGAAAATATCACCATTTGCTCTTTTCTTCCCCTTGATGCTGATGTCCATATCTTTCAGATCATCATCTTCGAGAAAAGTAAAAAGCTCAATTTCGTTGGCTGCCAACTCTAGTGTTTGGTACTCATGTTCGTGGTCAGGTTCATAGCCAGCATAGTCACAGCCACTACTACTATTCCTGTCATTTAGGTGAGGTAATTGAACAACTTGACTTACTTTGTCAAAATCAATTGGCCTAAAATCATATCCGTCATCATCACTTCGCAAAAATGGGTCTTCTAGTAGCTCCTTTGCAGATAATCTAGTCGAAACAGTTGCTAAACATTTATCAACAAAGAGCCGCACTTCTGGATTCTTCACTTTGTAAAGAGCATCTGGCTTTTTACCCTATTACAAAAAATTTCACTAATTAATTAAGTTGATTTAAGATACAAACTAGTCTGAAAGTAAGCATAAGAGGGCATTCCTGGGTTCTTACAGAAACTACTTTCTTGTAGATTTGAGCAGGGTGTGTGCATTCACTATAAGGATAATCAAAGGTAACCATTTCGAGTACACACATCCCAAAGGAGTAGATGTCAACTAATTCATTGTATTCCTCGGCATAAACCTCTGGGGCCATGAATTCTGGCGTACCTGAAATCATAGATGTAGCATTTGCATAATTTGGTAGCATTAGTATAGAGACAAGTAATTGCCATCCATCAAATATCATGTGAATTATTAATTGAGACTCCGGAATCACCCAATAGCAAGAACAATAATCAACACTATTTGAATAAGGTAGTATGTGATAAACAAATGTATGAATAATAGGAGTCGCTATTATTTGAGAAATAATGAAACTATTATTAGACAAAAGGGCAATCATTGCTTTGACAATACTATATACCATATATAAAAAATATAATTACCACCCAAGACCATTTCAATAATTAAGAGTACAGCTCAAACTTACCAACACAACGGGCCGCATGAGATTTCCTGAGTATGGCAGCTAGGCCAAGATCTCCAATCTTGACTTCACCCTGATTCCCATTAATGAAAATGTTATCGCATTTGAGATCTCTATGTATCACCGGAGGGTTATGACTATGAAGATACAATAACCCTTCTAGGATCTGCCTACACCAATGTTTTACTGCTCTAATGTTAACCTTTTTATGCTTCATCCTATACCTATCATCAAACATAACCACCAAATAAACAACAATAATTAAAAATTTACCACATAGGTAAAAACAGCACATATGAAACAAAAACTCGAAAGAGTGAAATTAATAGTCACGCTGATAGTGTAATTTGAAGTCATGACGACATCCATCCAAATGAAAAGAGTAGTAGATAAGCATTGGAATATGATATGATTTGATATAATTGACTAAATAAAATCGAATCCGTAAAAGTATGAAACTTACTGTCTGAGAGTACCAGAGGTGAACATTTCAGTGACAAAGTTGATGTTCCTGCTGGTAATGTCAACCCAAGAAGTATAAAACTTCATAATATTTTTATGTTTTAAGGTTTTGAGTAAATGGATTTCACTGTAAAGCCTTTCAAGATCTTCAGGTCTTTGCAGAAAATCTGTAAGCTTAACTTGATTCCATGCCACTTCAATTCCATTAAATTCATCAAACGCTCTGTACCTGCAATAAATCAACGCAAAAGGAAACATTATTTTAAGGAAAATGCAGAGAATAATTATTAAATATCTTGAATTGGATTTATTTTAATTGTTTTGCAAATTAAATACAAAGTCAAAAAAACTTGCCCAATTAATTAAAATTATAGATAAGCTCAAGTAATGGCAAAAAAAAAATACCCAATTTCCAGAATGATTTTTTTTGCTGATTAAGCTCAATTCTTAACAAATGAGATATGCCCAATAAAATAAAATGCAAATTAAGCTCAATATCTGGACAATTAAAATTACCCAAATTCCAAAATTGAGATTTTTTTACAAAAATTGGCAAATTAAGCATCAATTCTTGACAATTGAAAAAGACCCAGATTAGAACATATGCAAATCAAGCTCAAATTCTTGAAAAAAAAAATTGTTTTTTGAATAATTAAGATTAAAATAAAACAAACCCAGAAAAAAAAAAAAAAAAAAAAAAAAAAAGGTGATTGCTTACACTATCTTCGAAGACCCTTTGCCCAGAATATCATTATACTGCAGGAAAAAAAATCCAGAAAAGATCAATTAATTAATTAATCAAAATGGCATTAATTAATAAAAAATAATGAAAAAATTGATCAGATTAGGGGGACATACTCTTCCATATCTTCCAGTGGGATCACGCTCAACATAATCAGAGGAATCTTCAGAATCATCATCATGATCAATTACAGCATTCATTCCCTCTAATTTTTCAACCATAAACATTCATCAGCTTTAATTGACAGATATGAGGCTGTAATTAATCAAATAATTAAAAAAGACAGTTTTTTTAATAGAAAAAATAGTTGATTAATATAGTAGTATAATTATACAAGGACAATAAAAAGGATGGTGGGATGAGAGAAGAGAGATGATAGAAAGAAAGGAGGGAATGTGGAGTGTATGAAAGGAAGGGAGTACAAAACCAAGGGTTGCAAATGATGTGTCCCCTGTGGACTTGGGCATCGTATTCATTGTTTGTTCTTTCTTTCTTTGTCATTTCCTTCCTTTTTTATAGAATATGATAAATATTCTAAATAATATTATTATTATGTATAGAAGGATATAGTTTTGGTGAATATTTTGAAAATATCTTTTGAGATTTCTTAACGTGATTAGATCTCATCGTTGTAACCCTATATGTATGAATCAATGGAATACTCTCCAATCTGAGGAGTTTATATTATCTAACATAGTATCATAGCTTAGGTTTAAGATCCAATCCTAGCTTTTGCATTTTTTTTCCTTTACCGATTTTTTTTTTATTTGCCCTAGCCGTCCCCAACACTTTTGCCGCCAATCACCATGGTCAAGGAAGGTGAATCATTGGTGTTTCATCCGGCTCTTGGTGTTAATAGCATTAAGAATGTTATTCCTCTAATTCTTGATCGTGAAAAAGTTCAATATTCTAATTGGGTTGAATTATTTGAGTGTCATGCTCATGCCTTTGATGTTCTTGATCATATCAACCCAGAAGCACCACGTTTTTGCAGACCTATCCGACGCTATGTGGAAAAGGCTTGATATTGTTGTCAAAAATTGGATTTATGGTACTATTACTACTGATTTGCTAGAAACAATTTTGTGCAACGGGGATACGACACAACAAGTTTGGAATAAACTTCAGGAAATTTTTCAAGATAATAAAACTACTAGGGCGGTTTATCTGGAAAACCAATTTAATCAATTGCACCTGTCAAAATTCTCTAACATCTCTTCTTATTGTCGAGAATTAAAGAACTTGAAGGATCAACTTGCTAATGTTGATCAACCCGTGTCGGAGCAAAAACTCGTAATTCGACTAGTTTCGGGGCTAGTGAATATAGACTTTAATACTGTTGCTGCAATGATACAACAAACTACCCCGTTGCCTTCATTTGAAACAACGAGATCACGCTTGCTACTTGAGGAGTCCAGGCGAGCCAATGACTCATCATCACAAGCATCATCATTTGTGGCTCAATATGGCAACGCTACAAGTTCGACGGCCCCTCAACAGCAACAGGCGGCACCAGCTGGTCAGGGTGGCGGCTCCAGTGGCCGAGGTCGTGGTCGCGGCCGAGGTCGAGGCCGAGGTTCGCCACAGCAGCAACAGCAATCTCAATAACAAGCTCCACAATGGGTTGCACCTCAACAAGCTCCACGGTGGAATGGCCCAACATATCAAGCCCAGCAAGCCTCCCCACAATGGGCTCAGGCGCCATTCCCTCATCCTCAACAGTGGGCTGGCCCACGACCCCCCTACTCGCCTCAACAACAAAGGCCACAGCAGGCCTATTTCTTTGGGCCCTCACAATAGTCCCAAGCAGCTTACTCTTCTCATGGATCGGAGTATGGTTCGACAATGAATCCAACCGAGCTTGGTAATGCGTTTGCAACAATGAGTTTCCCTAATTATGATTTGTCTTGAAACATGGATTCCGGAGCAACTTCCCACATGAAAAATAATGTTGGTACACTCTTACCCCTTTTTAATTTAAGCACATCTAATTACATTCAAGTGGGTAACGGTCAACGCATTCCAATTACGGGTTATGGTCATTCCACTATTGCAAATAATTCTCTTTTCTTGCATGATGTTTATTTAGCTCCTCAAATCAAAAATTTAATTTCTGTTAGAAAGTTTACTTCTGATAATTCCGTGTCAATTGAGTTTGATCCTAATGGCTTTTCAGTGAAGGATCTACGAACAGGGAATCTAATAACCAGATGCAATAGTACCGGGGACCTTTATCCTGTGACCACAGCACCGACAACTTGTCTAGCCACTTCTCTCACACCCTTGTCTCCATCTCTGTGGCACAACCGCTTAGGACATCCCGGGGCACCCACTTTTAATTTTCTTAGAAGTAAAAACTTGATGATTGTAATAAGGAGCACGTCTCCACCGTTTGCGTAGGTTGTCAATTAGGAAAACATACTCGCTTGCCTTTTCATAATTCCAATAGCACTACTGTTTCTGCTTTTGACATTATTCATGCCGATTTGTGGACTTCTCCTATTCGTAGTGATAAAGGTCAAAAATATTATCTAGTTCTATTGGATGATTATACTCATTACGTGTGGACTATTCCCCTTGTGTATAAGTCTCAAGCTTTTCAAACCTTTCTTAATTTTCGACAATATATTCTAACTCAATTTGAACGTCCTATTAAATCTTTTCAAAGTGATCATGGTCGTGAATTTGACAATGACCCGTTCAAATTATTCTGTGTCAAAAATGGATTGGTTTTTCGCTTCTCTTGTCCTCACACATCTTCTCAAAATGGAAAAGCCGAACGCATGATTCGCACTCTTAATAATGTTAAGCATACTCTATTGTTCCATGCTTCTCTTCCACCGTCTTTTTGGCACCATGCCTTAGAAACCGCCACTTATCTCCTAAATATTCTTCCTACCAAAACTCTCAATCAAATCACTCCAGCTCAAGCTTTATTTCGGGTTATCTCGTTCTATAGTCATCTTCATGTTTTTGGGTGTCTTTGTTTCCCGCACTTATCAGCCACAATGCCTCATAAGATTGCACCTCGCTCCACCCCGTGTGTTTTCTTGGTTATCCTTCCGACCATAGAGGCTATAGGTGTCTGGATATCACCACTAACAAAATCATAATCTCTCGCCATGTCACTTTTGATGAACATACTCTTCCATTTAATCATATCACTAAGTTTCAATCGACTGATTATGATTTTCTAGCTTCGGATGACCCATCACCAATCTTGCAACATCACATCCTTATGCAACCCACTCCTCGCCCAACCAACCAACCCACTCCACAAGGGGGCTGTGGCGTAGCTCAACCAGCCACATGTGGGTTGCGGCCCTCACTGCCAACCCAAGGCAGAGTTGGTGCTGGAATTACAGCAGCCCAAACTACGGCCCAACAGGCTCATCCCACAAACCCATCACCTACGGCCCAACAACACACTCACCAACCCACCTCGCCACCTAGTCCACATCTCTCAAATCAGCCCAACAGCCCCATTATGCCAACCAACCCAATCCTTTCTCCAGGCACCTCATCCACATACACACCACCCTCACTTCGCGGCCTCACGCCAATTATTCCGACTAGACCACCGCCATTATCACCTCAAATGCAAACTTTGTCTAAGCACGTAATAGTTAAACCAAACCCAAAGTTCAGTCTATCCGTCATCATCCGTTCCCCGCTTCCCAAAAATCACAAAGAAGCCCTTTCCGACCCAAATTGGAATGCTGCGATGCGTGATGACTATAGTGCTTTAATTGAAATGGGGACATGGGATTTGGTTCCTAGGCCTACGGGGGTGAGCATTGTTAACTGTATGTGGTTGTTTCGTCATAAATTGGATGTTAATGGTGATCTTGAAAGACACAAAGCTCGATTAGTTTGTGATGGCAGGTCTCAGGTAGAAGGTGTTGATTGTGATGAAACCTTCAGTCCGGTTGTTAAACTGGCCACTATACGCACATTTTTTAGTTTGGCTATGGCTCGTCAGTGGTCTATTTGCCAACTTGATGTGAAAAATGCCTTTTTACATGGTGATCTGAATGAGTGTGTGTACATGCATCAACCCCCCCGGGTTTGTTGACAAGAGGTTTCCAGGCCATGTTTGCAGGCTCCGCAAGGCTCTATATGGTTTAAAACAAGCTCCTAGGGCTTGGTATCAGCGGTTTGCTAACTATCTCTTGCAGATGAGGTTTGTCATTGCTAAGAGTGACAATTCTTTATTTATTTTCCGACATGGGAAAGACATGGCATATTTGTTATTATATGTTGATGATATTGTGTTGGTTACTTCTTCAAATTTGTTGCGTGACCGCATCATTTCTCACTTACGTACTGGATTTCCAATGACTGACTTAGGTCCTCTCAATTAGTTTCTGGGCATTGCTGTTACTCGTACTCCCTCATATATGTTTTTGTCTCAGCAGAAGTATGCACAGGAAATTATAGAGCGCGCAGGCATGGCTAGTTGTAAACCTGCGGCGACTCCAATGGATACTCAATCCAAGCTTAGTGCAGAGACAGGCCCTAAGTTTTATGATCCAACACTCTATCGTAGTCTTGCAGGTGCATTACAATACCTCACTTTCACTCGCCCTGATATAGCTTATGCAGTTCAGCAGGTGTGTTTATTCATGCATGATCTCAGACAAGCTCATTATGATGCATTGAAAGGCATTTTGCGTTACATTCAAGGCTCCATTGATCACGGGTTACATTTATATCCTTCTTCATCCATGCACTTGATTACTTATACTGATGCAGATTGGGGCAGGTGTCCAAACACCTGTCACTCGACCTTAGGTTATTGTTGCTTTCTAGGGGACAATCTCATTTCCTAGTCGTCTAAGCGTCAACCTACTCTTTCTAAATCCAGTGCAGAGGCAGAATATCGAGGCGTCGCTAACGTTGTTGCCGAGGCATGTTGGCTTCGTAATCTTCTTTTGGAGTTACATTGTCCTATCCGGCAGGCCACTGTTGTTTAATGTTAGTGCAATTTATTTATCTCATAATCCCGTACAGCACAAACGCACCAAGAACATCGAAATGGACATTCATTTCGTTCGAGAAAAGGTGGCATTGGGGCATGTACGGGTCTTGCACGTTCCATCTCGTTATCAGTTGCAGACATCTTCACGAAAGGCCTCCCTCAACAACTATTTTTGGAGTTCAGATCCAGTCTCAGCCCCGTTCGTCCTCCTCCCGCTATGACTGCGGGGGTGTGATAGAATATGATAAATATTCCAAATATTATTCTGTATAGAAGGATATAGTTTTGGTGAATATTCTGTAAGTATCTTTTGAGATTTCCTAACGTGATTAGGTCTCATCGTTGTAACCCTATATATATGAATCAATGGAATACACTCCAATCTGAGGAGTTTATATTATCTAACACTTTTTAATAATTTTTTACTTTGATTATTTCTTATCGAGATGGATAGGGACATTCGTAGATAAGGTAATAATAACCCGACTAAAGTTTGCCTGACTTGGTCATCAGTCATAAGACTCATAACTGAAGTTAGATGATACTTACATCTCTTCTAAATGAACTGTTTTCCACGGAGTCTAGCAAAAATGATAACGAAGGATCTTGTTTTTCAAATTTAAGAGTGAAGGATCACAAAATGGATAATGGTTACTTAATTATCTGGAAAACAGTTGTTCGTTTAGTAACTTTTAATTTAGGCATTATCGCAATTGAAAAGATGCATTTAAAGCAACTTTTGACATATGTGTCTTATTACCACATCTATTTTTTGGCTCATACGGTAAAATAAAGGTTATTTTGATGAGATTCCAATGTACATTTATGTCTTCCTCTAGAAACTTACCAAAGAAAGCAACAAAAACAAGGGAAGAAGATGTTATAGAAGTTGATGAGCAATACTTCTTTGAGAAATAAAAACATTCATTTTGTCTATGCAAAAGTATGGTCCAAATTAACTCATATATATTCCCGATTCCACTCTTTTATTGGTGTCTTGGAGTTGAGAGGGTATTTCCACTATCTATTGTGGATTTACAAGGGAACATGCATCTCAAATTTTATTGTGATAACTTTGTCTTAATCTCCAATAAAGAAATTATGCAAACACTTCTTTAGTGTTTTCAACAAATCTATTCCAACAATGAAGGGCTGACGAAAGAAATTTCTAATACATTTAGGGGCCGTTTGGTTCTCACAAGGTAAGCGGAATGGAATCAACAAAGGGAAAGGAGGAGAAAGGAAAGCTAATCCCTCATCTTTGTATTGTTGTTTGTTTTACATAACCAAAGGGAATCACATTTGCAACCACCACTACTCTCCTTCTTCTACAACCAGTCAACCACCACTACCCCTTAAATCTACCATTCACCTACCACCACCCCTGAATGCCGGCGACCACCTACCAGTACCCTAACCTACTGCTGATCAAGCCTTTTCCCTTCCCCTTACCGCAATCGCCGCGATGCCCCTACACAAACTGCCGCGAAACCCCATGAAATCAGATCGGCCCCCTCCCTACGCCGATTAAGCAACAACCGTGAAACCCCACAAAATCAGATCAGCCCCCACCCATCACAAATCAACCAATACAACCCACTCTCACAACTCCCATGCGCATCAGCCATATTCCCTGCCTAACTCCACCATCCAATTCGGTGATGGACGAGGGTTTTGGGTGGTGGGCGAGGGTGAGGCGAGGGGTTTCGATGGTGGGCGAGGGGTTTCAGTAGGGTGGCTAGTTGTTTCGGTGGTGGGGAGTGTGGTGCGGTGGTGGCTGGGTGGTTTTAGGTAGTTTCGGTGGTGGCTAGGTGGTTTTGGGTAGTTTCGGTGGTGGCTGGGTGGTTTTGGGTAGTTTCAGTGGTGGCTGGATGGTGGCGTCAGTGTGTCGACGATTTGTTGGTGGCTAGGCGATGGTTCTAGTGGTGGTTGGGCGGTGGTGTCGGTGGGCAGTTGGTGTTTCGAGGGTGGTCAAGGTAGTTAAAAGGTTGGTCAAGGTAGTTGGGTGAAGAGGAGTTTAGGGGTTAGGGTGATTCCCTTGGGGGGGGGGGGGTTGGGGAATGAAAATAGAGGGAAATGGGGTAATGGGAGGGGTAAAGGGAATGATTGAATTTGCCTATCAAACATCAACAAAGGGAATCATGACAGTTGATTCCCTTTCCCTTTGTTAATTACCCCCAACCAAACGGCTCCTTAATGCTTTTAGTGATTTAGTTTGGCTTAATGTGTGATTATTGTAATAGTATATCTTGTTTTAATTTTTTCCATGAAATGCCCATCAGCCCATGAATTTTCAATTTATTCATGAACTACACTAAATAATTTTGAAATACATCAAAGATTCTTTAGTTGTGCATAAAATTAACAAATGGTTGCTAGCTCCGTTAGTCGTTAATGTCAAACTAATCGTTAAACCTTAATTAAACTAACAAAACCATATGCATAGTTAACCCATTAAGAATTGTTTTCGGGTTGGTGCTTGGATTTTCGAGTGTGTGGCTAGGTTTTTTGGTGGGTACAAAAAACCTTCCCGACCCATAAAAACCCTCCTTACCCACTCAAATAAGATGCTTAGTGAGTTAACTATGGTTAAATTATGGTTTAATGAGTTGGTTAGAATTAATGTCTAACATAGCGAACTCTTTTAGTCATTATGGACATTTAGTATGTATTATCCCGTATTTTTATACGTATTTTAACTTAAATAAGTATTTCTTAAAGTATTTAAATAATTCGAAATGAATTATTTACGGTGTTTCATTAATTTAAAAAGTATTATTTTAATTAAAAGTTTATTTTTAATTATTTAACAATCTTGAAAATATTTTATTTCATGATTTGGAGTTATTAGGACATATTATTTTATAAAAAGGTAATTTTTAAAGTTAATGGTATTTAAGGAAAGTCAAAATGTTAGTTTGAATAAGAAAGGGATCATTAAGGGTAATAAGGGGAATTTAATTCTAGGAGGGTTTTAGAAAGGGAGTATAAATACCCATCACATGGACAAATTAAACTTTGTCCAAGGTGGAGAATACCCAAGGTAACACTCTCTTTCTCTCTCTTATTTTCCCCTTCCCCTTTATTTTTATTTTGTTTCATCACCACCCACACACACCACCACCGGCAGGCCACCACCGGCTGACTGCCACCACCACCAACACTCGCCGGCAGCAGCCCGGCCTTGGTGGTCGTGCGCCCCTTTAAAAAAAAATCTTCTTTTGATTTTTAATTCAATCCACCCTTAATCTAATTATTGTTTTTGGGTTTTATGATGATTTTTATGATGTTTTATTTTAAGTATCATGTATATAAATTTTCAGATTTGAATTTAAATTTAAAAACCCCCAAATTATAAACCCTAGGTTTCTAAGTTTATGTATATTGATGAAAATTGTTTATGGGTGATTTAATAAAGCTGAAATTTTTATATATAAGCTATAATTATGGTTTTTTGAAAGGATTTTGAATTACCCATTAATTGGGAATAAAAGTAAGGGTTTTAAATTAAATTTCAGCTTGTTTTAAAGAATTTATAAGTGATTTAAGGAGTGTATATATTGCTGGAAATTTGTGTTGAATAGGTATTAATGCCTCTTTGTATTTTTGGTTTGTAGGAGTTTTCCAAGTGAGTGATTTTATTTAGTCGTGATGATTTTGAGATCAGATTCAAGGTACATTCGCGTACTTGGTAATTATTTGAATATGTAGAAGCATGCTAAGCTTTGATAAATTAATTCCAAGTAGTATCATGATAGGTGTTGGTTGGAATTTGTTGATTGGATTGATGTTGGTAAATGATTTGTGAGGTATGAATTATTTATGATGAATTGGTGATTGGAATTAAATATGTTGGCATGTTGGATATGAACCACACTCTTATTATTATCATAATGGAAGGCATGTTTAATTAAACTAAATGTTTAATTTGGTTTAAAATATGAAAAGGAAATTTTATTATGGTTCATATAATTTTTATTGATGCTATAAGCATGAGGAAGGAGCTATTTAAGTGTCTATGTACACGAGGATTAAATTATATTTTGGTGCCTAAGTGCACTTAAGGTGATCTAAACACCGAGGGATAGAACTTGTGGCGCATTATGCGTTTAAGGTGTTGTTTAACACCGAGGTAGTTTAAAAAGGATTCAACATTAAATTTATGTGGTCACTAAATATTCAAGAATTAATTTGGTATGTTTGTTTGCTTGAATAAATTATAATGTTTGATTGTGTTATGGTTTGAGAGTCATCACCAAGTATAATAAAATATAAAGTAATTAAAGTGAAAGAGATTACGCATCAAAACTCTTGGAACGTATATTCCTTGAGTAAAACATATGGGGGGAGTTATGCGACTTTATATTTGACCATAACTTCTACTGGGAGTATAGGACGCTGTATATTCCTTTTTATTATGCGCAGGAATTCCGCCACTTACGAGTGGTTCTTTTATACTGGCACGATTAGCTCCCGTGTTAGTACCCCTTTATTGGGGTAGGTTAGGGAAAAACCCATTCGATGCGTAATCAAATTAAATGGACATTGGTATTTGTCTAATTAAGTGCTAAATGTCTTGTATGCTTGTTTACAGAAGTAACAAGCACTAGGCGAAAAATACAAATGGGCACCGGTTCAAAACCCCCATTTCGCACTGGTTTTGAATCGATCCTCATTTGAGGGATGCCAAAAACCAAAAGATTTCGCACCGGTTCAAAACAGGTGCGAAAACTTAGATTTCGCATCAGTTCACAACAAGAACCAGTGCGAAAAATTGCCCAAAAAAAATTAAAAAAATAACTTTTAGCACCGGTTCTTGCTGTGAACCGGTGCGAAAAATGGCCCAAAAAAAATAAAAATAAAAACATTTAGCACTGGTTCTGATTCAAAATCGATGCCAAAAATGCCCCAAAAAAATTAATTTATTTATTTTTCACTTAAATTGATATAGAAACACTAACATAAATATAAAGTTACATATTTTCATTAAAAAAAGCTGTAATATTACAATTTTCGTCCAAAAAAATAAAATAAAAAACTCACAACAACTGCATATGCAATGAAACGTAGGCATAACAAATCATGGAATGACCCCAAATTTTGTAAGATCTAGCTGAATCTCGGCATGGTGAACAAACAGCAACAAACACCTACAAGATAAATTCAAAACATTAATTCTCATTATCGTCCTTTTATATTGATTACACAAGACTAGGCGGGGGTTGAAGAGATAGTAGTGCTACCTGATTATCAATAGCCCTGAAAAGGTGTACATGTCAAAGAACCCAAAATCACATATTTAGGAGATAGATTGACATGTCTAAATATTTCAATCATTAGACATTTAGACAAGTATAAAGTGCAAACATCTTCCAACACAAATGGCTAGATTTTAGTATAAATTAGTCTCCTTGCCCTAAATTAAATGCCATATAGAAAAGCTTTTTCAAGGTCAAATATCAAACACATTTTCTAAGGCGGAAATTTGATCTGTTAGCTAAGTACTTGCCTGGCTTTTGTTTCTAGTTCCCAGAGCATTTTTCCAGTGCTCATGTTGAATGCACCAGGATAAATAATCAAGTCAGCACCTGGCATTGCATACATAGTAGCTCATTTCGGGATTATGTATATTTCAAGCTCAGTAGTGCCACATTCAAAACGGATATAATATAAGAACGTTTTGCTCTGTACAACATAGCAAGCTCTGGGAAGCGTATGTCATGACAGATACCGATCCCAATGCGGCCTACATCTGCAAACATATATACAATACATGCTGTTCAGCTTAAAATGCACCAGAATCATGAGTCTTGAAGAAGTATATGTGCTTTTCTTTGACACAATCTGAATTTTTAGCAGTATGTGTTAAAGGAATTTCATGGATACAACTAATCATTAAACATAAGTTACTTGCTGGGCTAGCTCAGACAACATTGATGACAAATAGCGTAAATTAATCACCCCCTAAAGAACGAAGTGAAATGTATACAGAATATATCAGTAGCAACACATGGATTCCTACAAGAATAAGCATTTGTTGTCTGAGATGGTAAACAATTAACATACAAAACAGATAATACTACTACAATGTTACTGTAAATTTTGGATATATACCGGAAATTATGTTCAATGTCAGGAGTTATATCTAAGCCTTCATTCAAGTAACGTAGCTGATCAACACTGCAATACCTATGCCCACAATTGTAGGTGTGTCTCCATCAGTGAATGAATGCGACTCCTTAAATGAAGCTCCAGGTTCGTAATAATCAAACAAGTGCAACTAGGTGCTCGTGAAATCACTACAGATAGTCCATATGATGCAAAAATCTGAGTATGACCAGAAAATTCTGTCAGGTTTGGATAAAGAATTGTGCAAAGAGGTTTAAGAGGCACAATCACACAAAATTCATTAGCAAATAGGTGCTCGTGAAATCACTGAAGACAATCTATATGATGCAAAGAAACACGAGCTCCAAAAATCTATACAAGTGTTTTTACAAATATACTCACCTAAATCAGCATGGGAAACTCAAAAATATATTCTGAAGTTGCATCAAAAGCTGCTCACAAGTGACAAAAAAATAGAGGAATGTTTCTACAACTACTAGAGGTCAGCAAGGATATTGTTAATCAGGTAGTGGACTACCTCAACACAATATTCAGGCATGTGGACCAGCAATAAGAGGAAGACACACAAATTGAGGTAGATGCAGATTAGATTGACCAGGAAGAACAATTGAAGAGCAACACATGGACTGCCACACATAACCACAAACGTTTGAGCATAATACGATGTAAGTTATGTTTTTTTAATAAATGTTGGTATGTGTATTTTGCTTATTAGGAAGAGAAAGTAGTCTAGGGCAGTCATGTTTAAAGATAAAATGTATTGCTACAATGAAAGGAATCACTTTTTGTAATGGAACTAAAGTAATGAAATTCATGCTTCCGATCAAGCAATGAGACTCATGTTATTGTGTCATTAATTTGTTCCATTACCCAAGCTAAACATATCACTCAAACCATTCTTTTTGAAGGTTTATTTTTTATCAACACATAATGTTCAAGTGATTTCCTCAACAACACATCTTTGACAATAATATGTTGGAGCTAAACACACTTAACAACAATGGATCAAATGAATCCCTTCATCACATGGAAATCAAAACCACACATGAAAACCCATAAAAAAAAGGGACTCATTTTCACAACAAGGGGACTCAAATCACACAAGGCCAGGGGGATTGAAATCAACACTTTCAACAATAAACAGGGACTCAAACAAAACCCATAGATTAAATGAAAAAAAAGGTAGGGCTAGAGATCGTTACTGAAGCTTTCATTTAGTTGGGGAAAGAACAACTCCCAACTCATCTTCTGAGTCCTCAACAGGGCCTCCTCAATATACGTCTGCAAATTCTCCACCTTGAGCCTCAAGACCAACCATAGGCAGGGCAGCACCTCCAACCACATGCTGGACCTCAACACTAGCACCTTGTGGAGGATTAACCCCCCCACATCAGGTGCAACACGGGACTCATCACCAGAGATCTTGACACCACGAATTCTGCTACGAGCAACCAACATCGCGCAACGGCATTTCGAACATTGTTACATCAATTAAATCCAAAATTTCAAAGCATTTAACATGAATAATTGGACCAAAAGACCTAAATATAACGCAAAGCTAAATAACCCAAAAACCCTAACCTCGAATTTCTGATTTTTGGTTCGAAATTGATTTGAATTTGTTGTTGTTGAAGACGCACGCACATCAAATTGATTCAAAATAGACGTACCCAGAAACCCTAACCTCCAATATTGTAGAATTAAGAAATAGACGGCGGCGGCGATGATGGTTGTCCTTGGTTCGAATTGACGCCGGTTTTCGAAGGAGGGCAGCAGGTCGTTTAAGGCCGATTTCTTCAGTAGATTAGGGTTTGTTTGAGAGAAGAGAGAGATAAAAAGGAAGAGGGGAAACAGAAAGAACGAAGAGGGGAAATAGAAAGAAGGAAAAATTGACGGAGAATTTCGAGTACGCTTCAATGGAGGAGAGAGAGAGGCAGATGAGAGAGGAGGAAAAATCGAGGATGAAAGAGAAAAAAAGAGTATGACCGGGTTTTTTATTTTATTTAACAATAGCTTTCGCACCGGTTCGAACCGAACCAGTGCGATTAACTCATTTTTCGCACCGGTTTGGTTAGAACCGGTGGCGAAAACTCTTTCCCTCAATCCCGCCTATTTTTTTTCACACTGGTTTTTAAAAACTGGTGCGCATTTGGCGGTGCTCATTTAAGTTTTTCTACTAGTGAAGGTAAGTTGTGTGATGATAGGATGAAAGCATGATAGTGTGTTTTATTATGCCTATGTATTCAACATTGCTAATTATGTGTTGTATGTTTGTTTGGCCTTGTCTTTACCTTGGCCCTACGACGACCCATTTCTAATGGCGAGTAGTGGGGACAAGTAGAGAGAAGTTTTTCAAGTGATGAAGCATTTTCATGATGGGCATGAGTGAAGAGCGAATCATGCTTAGTTTCTATAAGTATATGATGTGTTTTATTTGCTTTGAATATTATTTATTTTATTATGCTCATGAGACTAACGTAAAGGTTTTTAGTATTGTTTGGTTTTAAGGGCCTACAATGGTTCCAAGTTGTAGGCTGACTTTGTTTGACTTTACTTTCGTTTGGTTTGACTTTTAAGTTGACTTGTTTTGAATGGTTTCAAAGAAAGTCTTCCGCTGTGTGTCTTTGATATTTGCCTTAGCCGTTTTCACGGTAGTGGTAATATCTTAAATTTTCTTGTTTCGTGTTTTAAAAAAAGGCAAAACAGGTATTTTAAAGGAAAGGAATTTCTAGGGTGTTACATAGTGAATTTATGCAAAAATGAGGGGTATTTGGTGAGTTTTAAAAGCATTGAGGGTATTCCATGACTGAAAACTCAAGGGCATTTCATGAAAAAATTAATGTTGTTTAATTTATGCTGATTGCGCCTATGTAAGTAAAAAAAAAAGTTACATCCTTCTTTCTAACAAATTTGTGAGACAATCGCCATCAAGATAGAATGAACTTTTGGCTTAAAGACGAAGACAGTATTAAATATCAAAATTAAATGAAAATAATACGATATAAATTTGAAATATATGATACCTCGACTATAAGTCTATAAGTAAAATGTAGGGAACATGCGAGCGGCACTAACTAAAGTGGGTGCCCAATAATATACTGCCATAACTTTGGTCGAATTTTAATAAATATTTGGATCTTAAAAAAAATCGACAGATACCATATCTTCATTATATACTGTCAAGAGGTCATTCCTCACTCACATCAGTGAAGAGTATCCTAAAGAATTAAGGTGAGAAATGTCATGAGCTAGTTGATTAGACTCCTTATAAGAAGTGTGCAAAACTACATAATTTAACAACTTAGCCAGCTTAAGAAAACAAGGAAAATTTGTCAGAATATAATCAGTTTTGCCCGGTCTTTCAAAAATAAAAACGACGTTTTGATTATTCCCCAATAAAACGACCTTTGATATGCATCTTCCATAAATAGGATGTAACTGGTTGCTTACCGGTGTAACAAGTTGAGTGTGAAACGTGTCACATAGTGATTGGTAGAATTTTTCTTTTAACAATTTTCTAATTAATTAAATTGATTTTAATTTAAACAAAAAAATAAAAACACCCAATAGCCCCCCACCCGTAAACTATCACCACCACAACCGGAGCGGCCCCTACCCTCACCCCCACCAATGACGAAACCCCCATAAAACACCCTCACCGTCGCTGGAAACCCTCGCCCTAACTCCCACTATCGCCAAAAACCCCAACCAACACCCTCACCGTCGCCGAAACCCCTGAAATACCTCCACTATCGCCAAAAACCCCCCACACCAACACCCCTACTGTCACCAAAAACCCTCGCCCTAGCCCTACCGTCGCCGAGAACCTCCACCCTTCCCCTCCACGAGCCTCAAACGGTCGATGTTTCAGAACGATAGGAGTTTAAGTAGGGAGCAGGTGGAGATCCGGGAAGAGGGAAGGAGCTAGGTGGCACTACAGGAAAGGGGGGAGGGGCTAGGTGGTGTTGCGGGAGAGAGGGAGGGGCAAAGGGGGTTGGGTGGCGTTGTGAGAAGAAGAAGGGCAAGGGGGTTGGTGGCGTTGAGGTGGCTGACAGGGGAAGGAGAGGGGGTTCACGAGATGACAGAGGTGGGGAAGGGTGGGGGAGTAGGGATGGCAATCTAGTCCGAATCCGCCCCTAGTCCAATCCGATCTGAAGAAAAAAAATCCGAACCGAATCCGAGAAATAATAATCCGAATCCAATTTCGTTGAAAAAATCCGACTCCAAGTCGGAGGAGGGTCGGAGTCGGAGTCTACTTAGATCCGACTTATCCGATCCGACTCCGACTTTTCTATGAACTTATATATATTTTATTATTCAATTCATGAATTTGTAGGTCTTTGAAGTTGATAATATATGGTTTGCTATTGATAACTGGGTCAAAATTATATTTAAAGTCGGAGTTGGAGTCGCATGGGTCGGAGTCGGAGGTTAGAAATTTAAGTCGGATCAGAGTCGGATGTCGGAGTCGGAGTCGGAGGCAGATTAAATATCTGACATCTTGTAGGGTCGGAGTCAAATTTTGCATAATCCGATCCGAATCCGACCCATTGCCATCCCTAGGGAGGGAATTTTATTTTATTTTTTGTTAATTAAGGTTTTTTAAAATCAGTTTTTAAAAAAGAATAAATGTAAAAATAATAATAAAAATTTTAACCAATCACAATGCAACAAATGTCCTTCCTTTACCTATGAAATAGGTAGCCGGTCATTTATCCTATTTATGGAAGATCAGTGTTGTTTCAGGGTTTTTTGATGTCCTGCGGGAGAGTTACAATTCCGGGACTGGTATCCTTGCGCCTGTACCTGCAAAACAATGGAAACTCCTTGTGGGGGGAGTTTTGCCTTCGACGATCAAGTTAGAATGTGTATGAGGAGTGAATAGTGCGGAAAAGTAAAGATTGGGAGATCTGGTTCTTCTAGGTGAGGAGTGGTCTAAGTGTTTAGGTGAGTGTAATTAATGTTCTTCACCCCCCTTAATGAGGATTAATGAAGGTATTTATATGCCTTGGGATGCGTGTCAATCCTAGGTTTTGGTCAACCTAGGGCTGATTGGGCTTCCACAAGACTTTGGGCCTAGGTGGCCGGTTTTCCCATTTGGCATGGGGGAGGCCACGTGTCGTAGCATAAGAGGTCCAAGGTGGACTGATCAACAATTGACACGTGGTAGGCTCCAATTGGTCCATGTGGCAGACACTTGGCAGAGCCTAAATGGTCCACTTGTCAGGTGATGATTGGTAGGGAAAAATCTCCTAATCATTTGCCCCTCACAGGTGGCACGTGACTGTTCACATGTCACCTGTGACAGGTGTCGGCCTGTAACATGCGACGGCCTGCTACAGGTGTCGCCCTATGTCGGGCCGAGCATTTTTCCCGCTCGTTTTTTGAATTTGGAGGCGACCCTTCGCATTCTCCTTTTGCCCTATATAAGGGCATGTTGACCAAGTCCTTTGTTCACATTTGCGAACTTTTCAAGAGAACTCTCGGACCCCTGAACTTGAGCTCTAACACTTTGCAACTTTTGACCTGCCGATTATTTCTAACAGGCCAACTGCTTTTGTTAAGCGTCTGTTCGATCAAGCTCTCCTTCAGAACTTAAGTTTCAGGTAACCGTCTGTTCCTTTATTCTTTTTGCTTTTGCACTTTTTATTTATTTTTTGAAAATGAGACCTCAAAAGCATCCGGCACGACCTAGGTTGGTAATCAGTCGGTCACCGGGGACGGCTGAGTATAAGACTACGGGTTCCGACTGCCCTGCGGTACTTCAAATTTTGCGCAAGCCCCGGAATCCAATTGTCTTTGTATCTATGTAGGACAGTATGGCAAGAATAAAAAAGACCAAGAGGATTGAAAACTCTGATGGCTCCTCTTTCTGGGTTCAAATTAGTGAGTTGTCGGACCAGCCGCCTAATACCGCAGGGACCTAAGGTGGCCCTTCCGCCGAGAGCTCTGAGGAGGGAGCTAAAGTAGCCCCTTCCCACTTCACTGTTGACCTGGCCAGTCAGCAGACGACCCCTGAAGAAGAAGAGGGGTCGGCTCCCTTAGGGAGAGGGGAGGAGTCGGACTCTTCTAATAGTGAGTCTGACTCTAGCTCTTCAAGCCGCCTCTCTATAAACTCAGAGGAAAGGCATTCTCGTTTGCATGAGGCGAGACTTTCTCATGCGGCTGAAAAGGGGGACGGCTGGTCGGAACCATCCGCCTCTCATAGGGAGTTGAATACTCCTTACTATTGTCATGTTCCAAAGGGCCGAATCAAGGCCATGAAGGAACGAATAGACTCCTTTCTATCGGACCATGTGATGGGTCTTGATTTTCAAGTATTTGTGCCGGATGCTGAGGACACAGTCGTCTGGAACGCGAGAAATAGCTACGGGGACGCTTGTTTTGGCTGCTATGAGGCGGCCATTAAGGCTGGTCTGCGATTTCTCTTGCATCCGGTCATTCAACAAATCCTCGATGGATACGAGGTGGGGCTATGGCAGTTAGCCCCGAATTCCTGGTTCAACATCCTTGGTTATGTAGTCGGATGTGAAATGCATAGGGTGGAGCCGAATTTTGAGGCGTTCACCCATATAAACAAACTATCTTAGCCGGACTCCCAA